AGGCAATACAAAATGTATCATGTCTCCAGGAAACACTAGAAAAGCTGTCACTTCTGGGAAAACCTTCAGAAGTGCATCTCTAGCATTCTCCTAGTCCTTTGTTTTCCCATCTTCAATCACCCTCTTGCCCCTCACTTGGAACTTAACCCAAGGCTTGAAAAGTGCCCTATCACTGAGCTAAGTCACATTTAAAAAAAAAGTTTTATGAATGAGTCTTACTGAGTTGCCCATAAAGGCCTTCAGCTTATGATCCTCTTGCCTTCTGTGTAGCTGGAATCTCAAGCTATGTTGAACACTACTTCAATTTTCAGGAAATGGCTGAAGGGGAACGCAATAATAGCAATCATTTCTTGGCTTGGGTCTATCACACAGGGTCACACTCCTAAACACAGAGTTTCCCTAGAGCAGTGGTTTTCAACGTTCCTAATGCTGTGACCATGTAATACAGTTTCTCATGTTGGGGTGACTCCCAACCATATAATTATATTTGTTGCCACTGCATAACTGGAATCTTGCTACTGTTACAAATCCTAATGTAAATATCTGATATGTAGTCCCAAATGGGTCACGACCCACAGGTTAAGAACCACTGTCTTAGCATATGCAGAAGTGCCACATACATTATCATATAAAAACACATTACAGAGCGCTCACTTAGCTTAGCTGTAGGGGAAGGGACTGTGTTAGAAAACAGAGTTCCGGATCTCTTTGACAAAGTACAATTCAAAATTATCGCCCATTATGAAATGGCAGGAGGCGACTGGATCTGGCTAAAAGCAATCTTTAAAGCAGCCCCGTTTCCAGGCAGCACCCTCCTCAAGTTTCTCCATTTGCATTTTCAGACAGAGGCTGGAAGCCCCTCCCTTTCCAGCCCCCTTTTAGACGACAAACTCACCCAAGCAAAATCAAAGCTTTTCTTCAAGACTCCCTCAAACTCTGCACCCTAATATTGCCCAACCAACCATCAGACAACCCGAAAGTGGTAAATTACGGAGAATTAACGCACCAATCCAGAACTTCAAGGTATTTCCGACTCCAGGCTAGAGAAACGAAAGTTTGAGCTCAGGAAAAGAAAGAGAAACTTACAGGGGGACAGACCAATGACATGCCTCCGCATAAACATGCCTGACTCCACCTCTGTAGGAGTTGCCCTCTGATCAGCTCGGCCTCCATATGGAGAGTGTGCACAATCAACTCTCAACCCTTAACGGGTTTTTTAAGACAGCTCTGGAATTTCCTAAACCAGTTGTTGAGGTTCAGGTCAGATTTACCCACAAGATCCCGACCTCCTGGAAAGCTGCCCGTGATGGAAAGAAAGCCTTCTACTGGATTCTTCTCGCACCTAAGCCCCGGGCTGGGTTTTGCTCTGGGTGGCAGGTGTGGGTCAAAGGGAAGGAAATGCAAGGCGAGGGACAGAACTAGAGTGTTTCTCTGGAGCTGGACTTGGACTCTTACAGGATGAGAACAGGAAGGAAGCTGCATTCAGGGCAGCTGCTGCACTATCAAGATTTCCCACCCAGCAGGGACAGGATGGGGAGGATTCCCCTGCAGAGCCATGCAGAAACACTTCCCCACACTGACAGCAGTGAAACCAGCAAACTGCAGAGGCTCTCCAGCTGCCCAGTGCTGTCCTACAGATTATATCTTCTGTTGCTGAACAGACCAAGTCCTCTTCACACTGCTGATGGGACACATCCACTGCATCCAGGAATCCCTCACCGGAATGTCTCAGGTGTCCCCATTTCAGTTAGGATTTCTATTAAAGACTTCCGATATTTCTTCAGCACCCCTCAATTACAAGCTGAAAATGTATAGAGCTGAGAATGAAGGTGAGTTGGGGCAGTCTGTGTCTAGCACAGTAGAGTCCTGGGGTGGATCCTTAGCTCTGTACTAGCAGGGGTGTGGTGACACATGCATGTAGTCTTACTCTTCTATTGCTCTCATAAACACCCTGACCGAGGCACCTTATAAGGACAGTGTTTGAATTGGAACTTAGAGTTTCAAAGGGTTAGCGATCATGACCACCACAGTGGGGAGCTTGGCAGCAGGCCGAGAGGCATGGTGCTGCTGCAGGTGAGAGGTGACACTTGAGACACAAACCTGAGGCAGAGATAGAGACACTGGGAATGGCCAGAATGTATTGAAATCTCGAAGCTCACACTCATGTCACATATTCTCCAATAAATGCCGAACCTTCAAATCTGTCCCAAACAGTCCCACTCACTGGGAACCACGTATTCAAAGATAGAGCCTATGGAGGCCATTCTTATTCAACTTATTCAAACCATGACAGGATCCCACTGCCTTGGAACTGGCAGCAGGAGGATCAGGAGCTCGAAGCTCACCAGTCTAAGCTACAGGGGACTTTGATGCCAGCAGCCTGAGAATCTTTCTAAAAGAGGAAGTATGTAGGGGAACAACAGGGAAGATCGTGCAGTCGCCATTTCCAGTCTCACCCCCCTACTCCTATCCTGCTGTCTCTTTTGCTCCTTATATTCTTAGATCTACTGAAGTATGACATAAAGAGTGACACAGCAGAAAGGACACTGCAGTTTGAGTTTTAACATACTTGTCTTCTCATCCTACTCTTATTCTTTAGAGACAGGCTCTCACAGTACACCCCAGCCTGACTTCTGAGCTCTAACTCCTTCAGGCTACCCAATGCTGTTTTTTTTTTGAAGATTTATTTATTATTTATACAGTGTTCTGTCTGCATGGATGATGTCTGCAGGTCAGATTAGAAGAGGGCACCAGATCATTTAACAGATGGCTGTGAGCCACCATGTGGTTGTTGGAAATAGAACTCAGGACCTCTGGAAGAGCAGCCAGTGCTCTTAACCTCTGAGCCATCTCTCCAGCCTTCAGCTGTTGTTTTAGTTTGCTCTTTGCACTTCAGGGATTGAACCCAGGACCTTGTGTTCCATCCTACACTCCTAGCCCAAACTTCACATCTTGAGGTCAAAAGACTGAACTGTTGTTCTTGCTGTGGACACAATGGCTGTCAATGAATGTTATGATGTTCTCATTTTTCTCTATATTTAACAACTATGTAAAATTCTTTGCAGTACTTGTTTGGTGTTGTTTTTGAGGCAGGAATTTTCTGGACATCCCAGATCCCAGACTGGTTTGGAACTCACTAGTTAGTGGTCAGGGTGGTCTCTAACTCCTGGCAATTCTTATCCCTCAAACTACAGAGGACAGGGGCTAGAGGGATGTGGCACCATGTCTTTGTCTTTCAAAGCCTGTTTGATATCTGTCCTCTGGCCCTAAGACTTTAGAGTGCATGGGTGGTCTTAGGACCCAGCAAGAACAGAGGCTAGCGTGTAGGATGGCTGGTAATATGTATTAATAAAAAAACAGCTAGGAAGTCTGCCACTAGACAGCTTGTTTACTGGGGGAAACAGGCTAGTTTATTGGTAGCTTGAAGCCAAAGAATAAGCAAAATATTGAGGGCAAGCAGGGGTTATCAGTTCAAATACCAAAGAGTCTCCAAGCAGGGGGAAGTCCAGGGAGGGAACAGCGATGTCACAGAAGCAGAGATTGCAGGTCCCTTAGCTGATCAGCTGGCAGGCTGCCAGCGGGGGGAAAAAAAAAACCATGTTGGCACCAGTTTTCTGCCAGGGAGGAAAAGAGTTGCTGGCTTTTTAAAATGATATGCTCTTTTGTCCTTATGAGGTGGATCCAGGTTTTCCAACCTGAGCCAGGAATAAATAAGGCCTGACTCCTACTCAAATCTGAGAGATTTTGGGGTACAGGCAGACTTCATCAGTCTGTTGGGTTTGGAAATCCACAAAAATAAAAAACAAATACTTATAGTTATCTACAACATATTAGAGTAGGCTTGATGGAAGTTCCCAGGCCCTAACAGTAAGACACTAGGAAAGGCAAATATTAGTCAACCCCACCCCTGCTCAGTTGCCCAGTGAGGCATGGAAACCCAGTACACCACACCACACCCCCAGTTAACATAACCCATTACTGAGTGTGAAGTTGATGCGTACTTCCTAGTGAGTCTATTCTCTTTTTAATACTCACATAATTCATTTTGCATTTGTGTATAGGGCAGCATGTGTGGGATGTGGCGGATAATCTGAAGAGTTGGCTACCTCCTCCTGCCAGGTGGATTTGAGTGACTGAACTCCGGGCTTCAGGCTTGCTTTTACCCTCAGAGACTTAGAACGGACCCCACATCTATTTTCTTACACTAACCTAGAGTATAGGTAGGTGTACTCTTTATATCAAAAGCGTAAAAATAGCTGGGCATTGGGGGTACACACCTTTAATCCCAGCACTCGGCAGGCAGAGGCAGGCGGATCTCTGGATTTCGAGGCAAGCCTGGTATACAGAGCGAGTTCCAGGATAGCCTCCAAAACAAAACAGAGAAACCCTGTCTCGAAAACCAAAAAATAAAATAACAAAAGCATAAAAATAAAAGCACAGGCTGTTGAGGATGGTATTCAGTGTTACACTACTGTGTGGAGTGGCAGGAATAGGACCAGGTGCTATGAACACACAGTCTTAGTGGGTACCATTGGAGATGTTTCTAGTTTAAGTTTGATGAAGCACAAGCATTGCTGTTTTTTTTTTAAAGATTTATTATTTATTATGTATACAGTATTCTGCATGTATGTGTCCCTGCAGGCCAGAAGAGGGCACCAGATCTCATTATAGCTGGTTGTGAGCCACCATGTGGTTGCTGGGAAGTGAACTCAGGAACTCTGGAAGAGCAGTCAGTGCGCTTAACCACGGAGCCATCTTTCCAGCCCAAGCATTGCTGTTAAACTGACCTACCACTAAGGGCTCATTCCCAAGCTAGAGACTCCTACATAGAATTTTCAAAATGAACAGTTGAGAGGAAAAGACCTTTCTTTCATCTTTTGTGGGTGACAGAAGGAATGGGCTTGTGACGACACGGCAGAGCTGAGACAAGTGTCTCAGTGGCAGAGCATCTCCTCAGCATGTACAAGGCCCTGGCTTCCATCTGTGGCACCACAGAATGAGAGGGGGAGGGTAGCGGAAGTCTTAGCTAATGGGGCAGAGTCATTTCTTTGGGAATGTGGGGAATGACAAACAACTGGATGAAGGAAAAGAACCCCACACTGGTTTGTATGAGAAGTGAAGGTCCCTGAAACGGAAAGACCAAAGGTAGAAAGAGCGAAAATGATGCTAGAAAGCTCAGGCCCATGAGATCCAACAGACATCAGACATGGGCGAGAGATTAGGAGGGTGGTCCACAGACTGTCATGGGCTCTGATGATTCCATAGGATTAAAATATGGATAAACTGCATCAGGGAAGGAAGGTTCATAGAATTTATAGATGAGAGCTCCGTGGTTGGAAACATCATAAAATGAGAGAGTGCAAGCTTCTCTGTCCAGGAAAACTCCAACACGACTGGGAGGAAGAGTCAGAGAGAGGACCAAGACACTGGCATTGTGGGTGATAGAACACTCTTCAAAGGCATGATATACAGACCTATTCGTCATGCCTATAACCCAGTAGCCATGTTTAGGCTGATAATTTACATGTGGATCATCATCAGAAGTATATTTGACTTTGATGCCCTTTTCATTCACTGCATGAATTTGGGGTTTAGCACATTTTCCATCATTTAATCCCAGAAGCCAGGCATCATTTCTATACACATCTACTTCCCAGTAATGTTTCCCTGAGTGGATAGCTGGATATCCAAGGACGCCTAAATCTTGGGTCTCAGAAATTTGCAAATTCCTTCTATAACCATTTTGACATCGTATTTGTCTTTTGTCCTCATTAATGACAACGTTATTATCTTGGACTGGAGACAGGGTCACGTGAACTGCAGAAAAATGAGATATATGTTAAGAGTCACATGAGAGGCAAGGTATAGTGTTATTTGTGAAGTAAGAAGCAGAAGCCTAAGGGGAAAGTGAGAGGGAACTTGGAGGAGCCATGTTTGAAGTTAAGGAGAGGTAGATTGCTATGTATATAGGGAGAACTAACATGGATCAGGCTAAATGGAGATATAAACTCTGAAAGGCATTAAGAAGAGAGAGGCATATAGTGCTGTGATTTCTCCTTACCCCAGTACTGTTGGGCATCCATGAACCCTGAAATGATGAAAATTCACAGCATTAAATGGAAGCAAAGGAACCAAAAAAAAGTCAATCACCTCTGTAGATTAGGGGAAGGATTGTAAATTGTGATATAGGATGGGATGGATGATTATTTCTCATTAAATGTGGTGACATCGCTGGGACACACTATCTGCTCTTCTGAGTCCTCTACCCATGTGCAGAAGCATCACTGTCTTCCCAGAGAGTGTAGCCCCAGCCCCAGCTGGAATCCCCCAGTTAACCACAGAATGCAGCTGCTCTCACCTTGAAACACTTGCAGCATGCCTTTCACATCTGGAGCTCGGAAGATCCTTCTCTGTTTTCTTGGGACCATTTCAGGTTGTTTCACTTTTAAGGCTTGGCTCCTGGGGACAAAAGGTTGACCTTCATGGCTCAGATAGTGTGACCTTGACCACCATTGGCTCCCTATCATTCTAACTACAGACATACTGGAGTTCTCTTGAGATTTCTGAGAAGGGAGAGGGAAGGTAGGCTACTAACTCTGGAGACATGAGAGATACACTCATCACCCCCCACTTACTTGCTGTGTGATGTTGGGAATGCTTTACTTCTCAGATGCAGAACTAATCAATCACTTGTACAGTCAAACAACTTGCTACACCACTCTCCCTTATACCCCTCCCCCCACCAAACACTTAAGAAAAGATGAATCAGTGATGCTTAAAACAAACCAAACTAAGGTACAAGAAAAAAAGTGTGGGCCTTTAATCTTTGCACACAGAAGGCAGAGTCAGGGAGATGTCTGACTTCAAGGTCAGCATGGTCTACAGAGTTGAGTTCCAGGACAGCCAGAGCTATACAGAGTAACACTGTCTCAAAAACTAAAACTAAAATTAAAAATAAATAAATAAATGAAGAAAGCCAGACAGAGAGGAAGGAAGGGAGGGAGGAAGGAAGGGAGGAAGGAAGGAAGGAAGGGAGGAAGGAAGGAAGGAAGGAAGGAAGGAGGAAAGCAGATGTTGGTTTTCAAGGACTCGGTCTAAAGTCTGGAATGGAAAGTTTCTCCTTGGTATAGAGCGTGGGAAAGCCATAGGAGAAAGTCAAGAGTTAGAACCCTGCTGTCAATAAGGACACTGTTAGCCAACATCTGATTCTTCTGATACGTCAAGTTCTTTTGTTACAATAACAAAATTTGGCCAAGGAAACAGGAGCACCAAATTAATAATAACATGAGCCCCATATGTTCGGAACGAGCCTGATGCCGGCAGCCTGGGTGTGACTCTTTACATACAAGGGCACAGCTTTCCAGTCTTCTGAAGTATGTGACTCATGTGGAGCAGCGGGACCCACAGACTCAAGTCTGTTTGTGAAAAAGCTAAGCACAACCATAAAGGAACTCTGGATCTCTCCCATCCCACAAGAAACACACAGATCCCCAGGAATTTTCCCAATGTGCAAATCTGTGAACATTGCAGCCAAGGAAGACACAGCCTAGCTAGGATGAATCTATGAATCAAGTCTTGTTAACTGCAGACAGCCAGACACAAGCACACAGCGTGGACAGAATGATGGAATCACAGGAGTCTGAAAGCACCTGAGACTCCATTTGCCTCATCCCACTGCTGAGCCTAACTCTGGACTTCCCATTACCCAGTCCCCTAAAAGAGAATCAATCTGTTCTCAGTAGTTACAAAACAGACAGACCCCGACTCTCCCCCCAACCCCCTGGAACTTCAGAATAACACTTTGTCTAAATCCCCCCAAACCCATGACACTTTTATTCTAGTTGGACACTAAATCATTTTCACAACACAACAGGGCTAATCTTCCCTGTCAGCCCACACATACCTTGTTAGGACAGAATTCACACCCTAGTGAGGAGAGAGAAAACACAGTTAATAACATCTTCTGCATGTTCTTGCACATCCTGGTCATACTCTCACAGGTTACAGAGACAAAGTCAAAATTAATCAAGACATTTCCCCCACCAGTTCTCCAAGAGATGATATAAATATGATGCATAGCTTTTACTTGATTTACATGTAACACAATAGACTACAAGGCTTTGGAGACCAAAGATAAATAAACAATAGTTTGAAAGCTTCCATAGGTTTTGCCGTGTGTACAACTAAACACATGGCTTTTCACCTGCTCCATGTTAGCTATCCATTACCTTACTTGCAACTAACATGTTTGAGAAGCTGATTTTTAAATTATTTTAGACATTTAGACACAATTTAAGAAATTAGTGATGAGGAAGCCACAAGGACCAGAAGCTTAGATTGGTCCAGAAGCTTAGATTGTCTGATACCTTAAACCAAACCACCACATCTCCCTTTCTCTTTTTCTTTTCTTGCTGTAATTGTACTGGCAGGAAAAGAAGTTAATCTAAAGAGACATGTGTTCTCTCTAGTTGACAAACAATGACTCACATCCCCAAATAGTAAAGTCTCCAGAAATCACACACTGGGAAATGGAAAATAGCTCTAGATGGAGGGAGAGCTGGGCTCCTAAAATGATTCAAGTAGTTTTAACTACTTGCTTAAAGTACAAGTCTGTATCCCAGATAATGATGGACACTCAAAGAAACTGAAGATGGACAGAGGAGTTTTTTAATCACTTTCTCCATTTTCCAAATGTGGCCACATTAATAAATATCCTTTTTCTGCTTCCCAATATTAATTTGGCTCTTTTATATGGGAGAGATATCAAGACCTGGCCCACCAGAGCCACTTAGTATGTTAAGTAGACACCTCAGTTAGCCATTTGTCCTGAGCTTGAGATTTAACTGTATGCAAATGTTCTCACAAGTTTGGGTTCCCCAAGATATTGGTAGAATTAATTAAAGTTACATTCTCAAGAAATGTGACCTTTCTCTTAAGAGCTAGCAATTGCCAGGAGCTCCTTGGGGGTGGTTGTACTTCCTAAGAAAGCCCCCGTTCCATAGTAGAATTTGGTGTCGCTTACGTTTGCACAGGTCTTGGGCTTGGTGAACACCAATTACAGTTCAAATGTTTTGACACTAAGCTATGTCCAGAAGACACTGTTTTCCTTGTAGACCTTCATCTCCTCTAACCCCTACACTCCTGCTCCTTCTTCTCTAATATACCCTGGGCCTTTAAATTAGAGGTGGTATATTATTCCATTTAAAGCTGAACATTCTGTAGTCTCTTACTGTCTCCAACTTGGCCAATTGTGAGTTTCACTATGTTACCCTACAGGTCTGGAACTCACTATATAGACCAGGCTAGCCTCATTTTCTTCTATTACAACCACTGGATTTAAAGGAGTGAGCCAGCACACCTGGCTATAGGTCGGGAAGCTTGTATTTCATTGTCATTGTTATACACTTCTCGTGTGTGTGTGTGTGTGTGTGTGTGTGTGTGTGTCTGTGTGTGTCTGTGTGTGTAGCTCTCAAATCCTGGGGTCACAGGCAGTATATACTTGGCTACACATGGCTTTATTTAATATAATATAAACCAACAACAGTAGATCCCATAGTTAAAGGAATTCTTGGGACAACTAATTATTCAAGTTATAGGTGAATTCTGATGGTCAAATTTGTCCTCCTAGAGACATCTGTATGATCATGTCTACTGAATCATTATCACAGTAGATAAAATAGACAACTGGGAACTAATCAACAAATGAATAGATAAAAATGATATGATAAGCATGTATGTTGAGATATTCGATATTCAAAGCAAGAATTATTGCCACTTGTGGTAACTTGACTGAAGTTAAAGAATTTATGTTACACTAAACCTGCTGGACACAGGGGAAAAAAACACTTAAGTAGTAGTATTTAAATATGTGTCATGTACAAATTGATCTTATAAAGATTAGATTTTGGGTCATCAGGAGCTGGAGGCAGAGAAAGGTGGGCAGAGTCTTTGGTCAAGTGGTACAATTTGAGACTTGTAGAGTATAGGGTCTGTAGTTAGTATCTGTGTGAACTATCTTAGTTTAGCCTGTATCTGTAATTCCGACTAATTAGGAGATGAGTTTTCTCAATAATAATTCATGCAATGGAGACACTGACAATTGAAAGAAAAAAAAACAAATTCCTACAGAGATATTCATCACCAAAATACGACTTTGGTTTAAATTACTTAAAAATGTGATAGAGATGAAATACAACACAGACTTTACACCTGTAAGGATAAAGAAGACACCTTTCATCTCAGCAACTCAAAGATACTGGATAGTAACTCCTCTCCCACTGGAATCAGGGGCAGTGGGGGTGAAAGGCTCCATACATCCAAAGGAAGAAATAATTTCTACTAATTTCAAATTCAGGTGCAGTAATAATGACAGCTGAAAATGTGCTTCACATATGCTCAGCATTGCAGCAGGGTAGAAACTACCCATGATGCAACACATCTTGTCTACCAGGTTCTGCATCTGTACTCTACTTGATAAGCTAAAAAATGCAATTTCCCCTTGCCATCCATGCATGCAGTGATTTCCCAGACTCTGAAACTGGCTCAGGAAAGAGTTCAGGGAGGGCACAGAGAACCCTATTGTCATCACCAGTGTTGGGAGCGATCATTGTTATTTAGAACCTCTTGTAAATATTGCCAGCCTTTTTTAAAGAATAGTTCATCCCCTCCCCAGCTTCCTAATGAATAGAACTTGGGCTCACGGAAATAGCCAATGGCAAAAAGGAAACATTCCACAATTAGATCACTTAACCCCTCCTTCTGCTACCCTTTTATCTTGCCAACACCTGTTATCTGATCACCTTCAGTGGCCTGGTTACTAGGCAACCGCCCCTCTCCTTTGATTACTCAACCCTACCTAGTTTTCCTGCCCTAAACCACTATAAAACATGCCTAAGGAAAATAAAATCTAGCAGGTATCAAGCCATGTTGTCTTGCTTTCCACTTCCCTTGTCTCTTGTCCCATCATTCCAGGTTCCCATGGGCTAGACCATTGTTGTGTTCTGCTGGCCAGGGAAACCAGGAAGATCTTAGCAGCACAGAGGGAGGGCAATGGCTTCCAGGTCTCCTGACTCTCAGATGCTGGGAACTCCTGCAGTCTTACCTGCAGCATTTCCATGGTTGAGAAGTCCAAGTGATCCTTCATATCCAAGATGAGGTCTCTCACTGAATGCCTCTGAATTTCCACCTTGTTGTAAAACTCTACCAGACTGTCTGTAATGTCACACCACTTTTGCTTCAGTTTCTGTAGCTCACTCTTCTCCTTAGAATCCAGGAAATTCCGCAGTCCTTTAAACTCCATCTGAACATTTTGTACATCACTCTGCATTTGGTTCTTCAAGAATAAGAAAGGGGAGAAGGGTTCAGACGGTGCTAATGGGACTGAAGACAGAAAACCACTGTTGTGATGGGGTCTTCTCACAAGGAACTGAGCTTGGGGAAGGGAGTCTTAGGAAAGCATGTGTCTCTTTTCAGTGTCTGTTCATGAAATTCCAAAACAAAGACCTTAGGTCACTTTTATCAAGGCCAATTGGGCCAAAGTGGGATGCCTGGGTGTGGCTCAGTTTTTCACACAGCTGCCCCAGACTCCTATTCCTGCCTACGATACTCCTTTCTCATCCCATCTCTGAACCCCTCAGATAATTTAACCCAAAGAATAGAATTGTGAGTGCTCCCAAGATCTTCCCAACAGTCATAGTTCCAGAAACCACCACAGGAGTGAGACCCAGGACTCAGTGCCCATTCTCACCAGGCCTCTCCATGGCTTCAGCTCCTCACATAGCGAGGCTCAGTTGTGAGGCATGCACTGTGCAGACCCAGCTCCAAGGAAACAGGTAGAGAGGACTAATCAAGGCCCCTTGGCCTCATCAACTACCAGGGAGTGAAGAGTCAGGGAGCTTCTTGCCCAGTCCCGCCCCCCCCCATCCCTCCATCCCCCAGGCATCAGGCTGACTCCCTCAGGAAGGGGCCTCACTTGCCTCCCAGAAAGTTCTCTCCTTTTGCAGGCCAACTTCCCATTCATCACATCTTTTGTTATTTTCCATCTGCATCTCCATAGCAGCCTGGAGCTTCTCCTGTGGGAAAGGAATTACATCAGAATCAAACTGTGTGCTGGGCAGTACTGCTGCCCCTAATCAAAGGTCAAGAGACCCTTGTGGAAAGACAGCAAGCCTAAGACTGTCCTCTTTTACAAACCTGTGCCAGGATTTATGCACAGAAAGTATGTAAATCTTCTTTCTCCACCTCAATCAATCATGTATTTATACATACACAATGCCCATACAGAGACACAGAAATCTCTCTTAGTCAATCATCCTTCCACGTCAAACCTGTTACTTTGATTTTGGCATCATAATTGTGGGATAATTTTGCTAGCTTTTTTGGTTTTTCATATAATTATGTACATACACCACATGGCCTGCGACTGACACCTGCACATTCTTTTTGTTTGAAACTGGGTCTACTATGTAGCCCTGGGTGGCCTGGAATTCCTGTGTCTACATGTGTAGCCTCAAAATCATCAGCTGGCAGAGTTCTGCGATTGAGCCAGGCCACACTACACTGGCCACATGCACATTCTTCTTATTTATTTATTTTTTCCTTGGTTTTTCGAGACAGGGTTTCTCTGTATTGCCTTGGAGGTTGTCCTGGAACTCGCTCTGTAGACCAGGCTGGCCTTGAACTCACAGAGATCCGCCTGCCTCTGCCTCCAGAGTGCACCCAGCAATCACATGCACATTCCTTTGTCATTCTTTGTCTTGTTTTGTTTTTTTGTTTTTCTTGGAGACAGGGTTTCTTTGTAGCTTTGGAGTAACCGCCTGGCTATCCTTTTTAATTGCAGTCTTCTTTCTGTATTAAGATTGTCTTTCTTCACTGAATATATTACTTTTAATAAAATGTATTGTGATTACAGATGCCCCTGCCCCCACTCCTCCCAGTTCCTCTCTACCTCCCTTCCCATTCAGATCCACTCTTTACATCTCGTGTTACAAAACAAATGGGCATCTAAGAAATAATAACAGAATAAAAGTAATATAATAAGAACAAAAGGTCAATACATTGGAATATAAAAAAAAACAGAAAAGGAACTAAATAAAAAGCACAAGGAATGCATAGTGATGCAGACACAGCGGTTTCCAACACACATGTGTTAGGAATAAGGCAGCACGTGTCGAGGATCACAGTTCTGGGGAGGTGACGGTTGGCGAGTGGATATGACTCATACTGGAAGTCTCTTATTGAGGGAGGTAAGAAAATAAGACACAGAGACACAGAGACAGGAAAGATGAGAAAGGGGGACTGGAGAAGACAGGAAAGGTCCTGCCTGCATTTCAGAGAAACAGTGGTAAAAAGGAACGGAAGTGAGTGGACTTTTTCTTTAAAGTGCCAGTGTACATACACCTGCCATGTGCCGCAGATGGGTGAGAGGCAGGGTCAGGTTTGCCTGGATTACAGCAATATGAATCTCATAAAAACCCAAGCTTTGACACAAATGCAAAGAAACTGTAAGGTAGAAAAAGCAAAACAAACAAAAAAGCACAGAATAAACAAACAAAAACACCCCATGTATCATTTGATGTCAGTCCTAGGTGCATTGGTAGAGAATCTCACCAACACGCTGTGGTTTCATTTCCCTAAGGAGCAGAGAAGGACATTCCTCGTGGGAAGGACTGACATCCAGCTAGCTCACTCCAGTTACTTTATTCAAACACATACAAGGTTAATAGGAGCTGGGAAAGGTTCCAACTAACAACCTTATCTTGCTCTTGCTGCCTGTGAGAACAGACAACCCACACAAATCTCAGTCCCCTTTGACTATGGCAGCCATAATCAAAAGTAACAAAACTCCAGGTCAGCCAGGAGTGTCTGAGGACCAAGGTTGGGGCAGTTGCAAGCTCCCACATAGCACCAAGTGCAGCCTCTCCAGAGAGACAACATTTCTTCAGGTTTTAAACATTCTCAAAACAATTTCTCAGCCTCTACTGATTAACAGCTACAACAGCCTCTATGAGTTTACTTACATGTGGGCTGAAACACAAACAACAGAAAGCAAAGACCCAACGCAGACCTTGCCTGTGTATCTCATTATGGAATTCTTTACCCTCTTCCCAGATGTTAACTGCCAGATGCGTATTCTCTTTGCTGCTTTATGTCATTCAGCTACTAACTGCAGTATTGATGGTCACTAGACTAGATTTTAGGTACTATGAATGAATCTGACATAAGCATTAGAAAAAGATAAATATGGGATAAATTAGCAGTTCTGCTCTTGGCTTTTCATGGTCCTGACTCCAATTGACAAGCACAGTACCATGACACTTCTTTCTATCCTAGTATTTGTAGTTTAAGCAGATTCTCATATGATTAAGTAGAATAAATCATCATGCAATTTTAGGACTTTAAATGCAAGAAAGGAAGGAATGATATATCACACTTTAAGTCTATGATGTCCAGGTAATTGACCTGTCACTCCAACTGGGGATGTCCCATCTGTTACTGTCTCCTGCTCTGTGTCCCACATGCTCCCACTTCTTACCTTGTACTCATGGGCCACCTCTTCAATAAGAGCTGTTTGGTGACCACGGTGATCCTGAGATCTCTCACAAAGGTTGCAGATGGCCACCATGTCATTCTCACAGAAGAGCTGGAGTTTCTCTCCATGCCATGGACAGTAAAAAACCTTCTGCTTCTCCTCTGGGCAGCACTTGAACCTCTTCACCTCTTCCACTATGTTGGCCACATGTCGATTAGGTCTCAGATTCCCAAATCGGAAACTAACTCGGCACACAGGACAGATGCCCTCCCCTTCTTTACCCTTGCTGGACTCATAGTTCAGTGTGATGCAGGCTCTGCAGAAGCTGTGACCACAATCTGCACTCACAGGTTCTACCATCAGGTCCAGACAGACAGGACAGGTCACCTCCTCCTTGATCATCAGCAGGACTGATGAAGCCATTGTTGCTGTGACCCTGGGTCTGTCTGTCCTGACTCCTGACTCTTCTCCTCAGGTATCTGTGTGATTGGAATGAGGAAAAGGGGGACAAGTAAGAAAGGGAAAATGAGCATGGACACTGCAGAGATAAATGAATGACCCTGATGATAGGGAAATGAACAGAAAGAAGTTTAGTGACATGGCAAAAGGAGCATTTTGTCAAACTTTCAAGTCCTCTACTGTATTTCGTTCCAAATGACAAATTTCAGATGCAGGACAGTCATTTCCTTTTACTGGAGAGCAGAAAGGAAGTGTTTCCTTCCAACAGCCTCGTGTAACCTACCTTCTCTCCTTCCCTCTCTTTCCCAGCACACAACACATCCCCAGAGTAAAAGCATCAAACTACTCATGTCTCCACTGCTGTACTTCCTCCTCATCAGTACCAGGGATCCAGGGATCCGGTACTCAGGTGGGCAAAGAGTCGTCGAGTGACAAACAGACACAACACAAGAGTGCCGGATCTGAGTGTAATTTTTCAAAGCATGCATCTGACTTTTATAATCATTACATGAGCAAATAAGGAAGTTAATCTTATACCTATGTCAAGGTACAAAGAGGTCTGCAAAATCGACACACAAAGCACATCATGAGACTAAAAGTTCCAAACAGGAAATCAAATGCATGAGAACTGGCAGTAGACAGACAGTGGTTACAATATGCTAACATCAGCTCTGTCTGAGGTCAACCTATTCTTAGAATTACTTCCCCTGTCTCATGAGCTAATGCTCCAGCCATAGTCCCAAATCTTGGTCCAGTGCTTAACCCACCATTGGCCTGCCTTCTCTAGCTTTCAGATTATACCTGTTTTGCTGTGCCTTGGATAACAGACATCAAGAGGGTCTGGCTCTAGCAAGCCTTTCCATAAAATTCAGGATGTAGTATAGCACACATTTTCCTCCTATATTTACCCACCTATTATCCTCTTCATCATAAATTCCAGTATAAGGAAGGGGAGCAGCCATTGGCCTAAGCATTCGGGAAGATTCCCTATTTACTAGAGGAGCCCACCAACACCCCTGATTTTGTAATGAATTCTGCCATATATAACTGTAATGGGAATTCCTAGATTACTCATTTGAATTTTCCTGAACTTTCTGATTCCCTTCCTTTTAACTGTAATGTCTTGATTCTTTAACTATCAGCTCTGTGTCTTTCATAAACACCTCCTGCTGCTGTAATTCATTAAAGACATCCCCTAATGTCTGATTTTCCTTATAGGGAATTTTTTTAACACGTCTTTCAGCAATGGAGGCAGTTCATCAGAATAATTAATACCTGTTCTAAATTCCAGATTCAAAGTTGGTTCTGTTTCTGGCAAGGAAGTTGGATCATCAGAGGAGGAACATCCAATTTTACTGGACCTTCAATCAGATTGGACCCTTGAGGCACACTTGTTCCTACAAAAGAAATTGATACCAAAAAAGATAGGGTACAGAAACATCCACCGGTTACTGCTAGAATAAATCTGGAACACGTCCTTGATAGGGGATGCCAAGGACCTCCAGATCAGTTTCCATGAAAATCTTGCCTCAGGCCTCAGTCCAAGTTTTTAGGATTGTTAGGCAGCCCCTACTGGAGTGGGTGGGTGTGGCATCTCTCTGATCCTCTTCCTACAGTTTCTTTCCAGAAAGGCTGGTGCTCACCTGGACTGTATACAGTCCCATCTCCTGGTGCACTTAGGCAATGATTTCTCTTGTTGACAATAAATGTCAGCGGATATGTTTGTACACATAGATAAGCTCTGGAATAGATATATAGAGATGGCCAGTTTCAAGGATCATTTATCTTCAATACACTGAAAGGGATTTGAAGCCATCCCTTTAGCATCTTTCAGAGGTCCCTGCTCTACCCCATAGAGTTCACCAAAGAAAAAAGAGGTGACAGTCAGGACAGAATTGATAGCCAGAACATTGTGTGTATGGAATTATATCTCCAAGCCCTGTGGGTTCTGAGGAATCTTGTGTGTGTAAATGTTGAAAACTTATCTTGTGTTGTTTCTCATCAAATGTAGTGTCTTGCCCCTTAAACAACTGTTGTCTTAACAACCACAACTCCTCAGCTACCAGCAGTAGTCAGGGCCCAAGGACCACAGCCTGCAGGAATTCTGTTCTTTCATGCTCTGACTCTCTCAAGACCACTAAGGGAAGCTTTGTCTGGATCTCCACAACTCTACTGAAGTCAGGATTCAAAGGGTGAGGGGAATTCTGCTCTCTCAGAGGCTGAAGAGCAAGTAGCTAGCTTTGTCTCTGTGTTCTGGCTCCCACAAGCACTGAGTCCTCTTGCTGGGTTCACACTTAAGAATCCTGGCCACATACAGCTCCTCCCTACCACTTCCTGTCAGCTGACTCAGCCTCTTGACGACAGGTTAAAATTTTATGTCATCAAACAAATGCACCATGCCTTTGCATTTTTAACAAAAGCAGTAGGAAATCTTTTTTGTTTTTGTTTTTTGAGACAAGGTTTCTCTGTGGCTTTGGAGCCTGTCCTGGAACCAGCTCTAGTAGTCCAGGCTGGTCTCAAACTCACAGAGATCCACATGCCTCTCCCTCCCAAGTGCTGGGATTAAAGGTGTCAGCCACCAATACCCGCTCAGCAATAAGAAATTTAACACACCTTAAAATAATATTACTCAACAATCTTGGTCTAGAAATTTGACCAAGAAATTGATAGGAGACTCTAGTTACAAATGCCAGCAAGATACTGAGCTGGGGGTTGGAAAGATGGCTCAGTGGTTAAGGTCACTGACTGAACTTTCTGGGGACCTGGGTTCAGTTCCCAGCATGCATGTGGCAGCTAAAGGTTGTCTGTAACTCTAGTTCCAGAGTCAGACTTCCTCATATAGACATATATGCAGGCAAAAAACAATGCACAGAAAATAAAAATAAATAATTAAAAAAAGATACTGAGTTCAAAACCACATGAGAAATTATACTTCAAAGTACACTAAGTTCCCCTAATAACAGGCACTATCAGTTCAACAGACAAAAGCAATCGACAACCTACACCTTATCAGCAAATTAAAGATAAGATTCTGCCTATTCTTTGCATCAAACTATTTGACAATACACACCATTGTTTCAGGAATATAAATTCTACAAATGCTTAGGTAGAGACATAAATTTCCTTATTTAAAGCCACACATGAATATCCCACTGCTACTCTCATAAGACATTTAGGGCAATGGAAATTCCTTTTGTAAAGTCTGCATAAAACAATGGTGCTTAATGTTGTCATTTCTTGGAAACACAGCAAGGACAGGGAAGCACCTGCAACACAAGAAGACTGGAAAAATAAATAAATAAAAGGTATACCTATTAGAGTTTTTTTTTTTTCTTTAAAGACAAGGCAGTGTGTAGTACAGCCATTCTGGAACTAACATTGTAGACCAGGGTGGCCTTGAACTTACAGAGAGACACTTCTCTCTGCCTTGTGACTGTTTGAACAAAGGCTTTTTTCACCACCACTAGGTCACATTTGTTTTCCAGATGAAAGAAAAGGCAGCAAGCTCAGTGAAGATTCACATGCAATATACAGTATAGAAAAGTCACAGATAGTGAAGAATCTGAAAAGAAACTAAGAAGCTGAACTGTTGCTGCTGGCCTCTAAACCAGGATTCTTAGGAAGCTGATGCCACAGGATGGCAAGTTCAAGTCTCTATAGGCAAACAGTGTTACATCTAGAAACCAGAAAGGGCTGGAGGGAAGGCTCAGTGGTTGAGCACCACCTGTGGTCACAGAGGATACCCAGTAACCAGGCATCCGATCCTTATCAGCTTCCATCGCACTAGGCTGCTATATCACCCTTCAAATGCTCCCCATTCCAGCAAATACAGAGACACCAAAAGCACTAACTAGGTTTGTTCAATTCAAAGAGTAAGGCTGCAGACAGCTTGTTTCTTTTGTGATTGGGGTAGGTGATGGCTAAGGAAAATTCCATTGTGTGTTGGCACCCATTCTAAATTTCTAAAAGCAGCTCCTCTCAGCTCTCCCTCCTCGCTATGATCCCCTAAATTGGAAAGCACTATGAGATAATTAACTGCTTCCTCTGGCTTTGTGACCCAAGTTCTCTACTCTGGGGCAGGGAGTGAGAGCTCCTCACAGCTGAGGGGAGTACAAGCAGTTTCTCAGTCAGCTATACATTCCACACCAAGGAGACAGCCTGAAAATCCCCTCCTCCAGCCTCTTCTGTGTGACAAGCCTTTGATTTGTCTTTAAGGCTGTTATTGACCTGCTAGCAGTAATTAATAAACTCATTTAACTATAATTTGAGTCTATGGTCTTTTCCTGGTGGATCTGAATTCTGTTACAAGTAAACTTTTTTTTTTTGTTATGTGTTCCTTTTTTTGTGTTTATATCTTCCTCTCCTCCTAGTCCTACTCCCAGCCTCTCCCCCTCCCACCCACCCCCAACAAACCTCCTCCAGTTCTCTTCAGAAAAGGGCGGGGCTCTCATGTTTATTAAGTAGCCATTGCATATCAAGTTGCAGGTGAAATTTTCTTTAAGGTTGATGAAACTTAAAGTATTGCTGTCATAAGGAAATGGTACCTTTTCCAAATAAGCTGGGGAATGAATTGTCCCTGATCTCATTTACTAAGTAGTGTTACCTGAAACAACTTAATTTGTACTCCCTAGATGTTGGCAAATTTAAAATCTGCACAACTCTACTGTGCGCACTGTAGTACTTCGTAAGATATGGCTGTTGCTCTCTTCTTAAGTTGTTTGTGCCTTTTATGCCACTGCTGTCCCAAATCAGAAACTGCAACTCCTCTGCTATCAGCAACAGTTAGGTTGCAATAGTCACTGCCTGAGGGAATTCTGTTCCCTCAGGCACACACTCTTTCAAAGCTAAGGGAACTTATCTAAATCTCTGTCCTCTAAAGAACTCAAAATTCAAAGGTTGAAGTGGAACCCTGCTCCTCAGAGAGGCTGAATAGCAAGTAGCTCACCTCAGGTCTTTCTGTCTCTTCAGAAGCCCCTGTGCTTCTCCTCACCCAGACTTAAAATCCCTTCTCCATCTGGCTCCTCCCTACCACTTCCTGTCAGCTACTTGCTGACCCAGGCTCCTGACTGCAGGTGAATTTTATTTAATCAAACACATATGTGAATCATTAGACAAATGTTCCAGAACATAAACTAAAGCAGCACACCTTAAAACCATATTCTATGATATACAGAAGTAAAGAGAGTGAATGCCTAAATTCAGAAGAGGTGTCCACACTGACCAAGAGCAGGAGAGAGCAAAGGGAAAGAGGATGGGCTCAGGACAGTCCTGAATGTCAACCTGGACACAGGAGGCCTGGCCTGTGTCCTCTGGTGTCTACACCAGTGTGTGTGAAGCTGGGATTCCCTGCTCCCTGTGCTTCCTTTCCTGGCTCTCAAGGTCTTCCTACCAGCAGACATCTTTCAGTTTTCACACCATTAAATCCATCAGGAGCTGTGCTGATCCTTGAAAAGTAGAAAAGTCCTGGGGTGCAATGTCCCCCTGTAATACAGTGTCTGGGCAGGGTGACAGGACAGTTACATGAGGTTAGCCTGTGCCATTGTTGGGTATCATGTCCCCAAGGAAACGAAAAGCTTTCACGTGTGCAGTCCCAGTGTTCTCACAGAGTTTCTTTTCTTTCCCTGTCTCCTCCTTCTCTGTCTTTCCTTGTGATCGAATCCTGGACCTAGAGCACACTTGAAAGTGTGACCCCATCCCCAAGAAGCATCCCAAAAAGCAACACCACTTGCATGGTCTTATTGTGCCCCACACAACTATCTTTGCAGTTGGAATTCATAGTCTGGGCTGCTTTTCATTTTGGCCTGGCACACATGGACCAAGGAAAAGGCTGGCAAATGTAATGACTTTCAAGTAACATTAGCAATTCACTACAGATTTGAGGCTGATCATAGAACAAGTAAACATAAAATAGGCTGCAGATAGATTGGTACTTCTAATCACAGAGACAGAAGCAAAGGGAATGAACCTATTGAGTCATGGGTAGATACACTGTTACACAGAGAGACCTTAACTAACACCGTTCTGGTTTCACTCCTTCAGATAGTTGGGGAGGGGAGGACAAGGACAGGGACTAGTGTCTGTCTGGCAACAGGGGCTTCTTGGTGCAGCTAAAAATTAAACATTCGGAAAGAAGAGAGTGGACTCCAACTAGAGAAATACCTGGTCTTCTCTTGATCTTGAAACCTGTCTTTTCTCAAGTCCCTGCCTCCATCGTCTCCTCAACCCTAGTGGGCTCAGCAGGAGGCCAGCAGCCCCTCTTTTCCAGTCCCTTCTCCGTTTCAAATTTAACTCACCAGAAGGAAGAGTGTGTTCTTTTAAATTCCTCCAAATTCTGCCCTCCAAAATTGCTCTCACACCCTCAGAGGCCAACTAAGAGATCCTGAATCTGGAGAGGAGATAATGGTGGCCAGGGCACATGGGCGGAAATGTCCTCAGGAGAGCCCGGAGACAAATGAAACTCAAGACTTTGAGGGCTGGAACAATGAGAAACTGCTGAGCTCCCAGCCAATAGGGTGCGAGCATGTATCTGAGATCCTAACAGTAGAGGGAGCCAGTCACCTTGGGTCAGCAAACCCAGGATTTGCGGACATTTTTCAGTGCCACAGCAACTTGTTATGTCACCTGTTCAGGTTCATGTCACAATCACCCTAAAAGATCCTGACCCTCGGGAAAGCTGCCCCCAATAGAAAGAAAGACTTCTCCATGGGCTCTTCTTGTACCTGAGCTCGTGGCTGGGTTTTGCTTTGGGTTGCGGGTGTGGCCCAAAGGGAAGGAAAAACAAGCTGAGGGACAGAGGACTGCAGTGTTCCTCTGGAGTTGGACTTGGACTCTTACAGGATGAGAACAGGAAGGAAGCTGCATTCAGGGCAGCTGGCACACAATTAAGATTTCCCACCCAGCAGGGACAGGATGGGGAGGATTCCCCTGCAGAGCCATGCAGAAACACTTCCCCACACTCACAGCAGTGAAACCAGCAAACTGCAGGGCTCTTCAGATGCCCAGTGCTGTCCTACAGATTAATATATCCTGTTGCTGAACAGACCAAGTCCTCTTCACACTGCTGATGTGATGCATTCATTGTATCCCTTCCAGGAATCCCTCACTAGAATGTCTTAGGAGTCCCCGTCAGAGTTACGATTTCTATTTATGACCTCGGATATTACCTGAGCATCCCCTGAATTAGAAGTTGAAACTGTGTAGATTTCAGAGTGTGGTTGAGCTGGCACACTTCCTGCCTAGCACTGTAGAACCCTGCAGTGGATTCTGAGAAGTGTACAAACCCAGGTGTGGTGGCACATGTATGCAGTCTGTCTTAGTTACTCTTGTGTTGCTATGATAAACACCAGGGCTCAGGCACCTCATAAGGACAGTGTTTGAATTGCAGTTTCAAAGGGTTAGAGGTCATGACCTCCAGAGTGGGGAGCATGGCAACAGGCAGAGAGGCTTGGTGCTGGTGCAGAAGGTGAGAGGTCACACTTGAGACATATACTTGATACATAGAGAGACATTGGGAATGGCCAGAATTATTGAAATCTCAAAGCTCACACTCATGGCACATATACTCCAATAATGCCATCCCTCCAAATCTGCCCCTAAACAGTCCCTTTAATTGGGAACCAAAGTATTCAAAGACAGATCCTATGGAGGCCACTTTTATTCAAACCACCACAGGATCCCCCTGCCTTGGAGCTGGCAGCAGGAGGATCAGGAGCTCAAAGGCCATCCTCAGCAACAGGGGACTTTGATGCCAACAGCCTGAGATACATGGGAATCTTCCTAAAAGAGGAAGTTGTGTAAGGGAAACAATAGGGAACAATGAGCAGACACCTATTGTGCATGGAACATCTCACCAGTAATTAACAGAGCAACCATCTACTGAGTGTGAAAGGGCCGAATTATATGCATTGAACTTCATCTTATTTAAAAATTACATAATTCATTTTACATTTGTGTGTGTGTGTGTGTGTCTAGGCCTGTGTGTACTGCAGCATGTGTGTGAACATAGAGGTTAATCTGTAGGAGTTGGCTCCTCCTTCTACCAGGGGTTTAAGTGACTGAACTCAGGTTACTGGGCTTAGAGGAAAATGCTTTTACCCTCAGAGCCTTCTAACAGATTTTCAATTTATTGTCTTGTACTGACCTATAGTATGTGTACAAGCTTCATTGTGAAATTATTAAAAAAAAACAACAACAAGCAATAAAAACGAACCAAACAAAGAACCACAACCAAAAAAAAATTTAAAAATCCACAAAGAGTAGGCTTTGGGGGTGGTATTCAGGGTTATACTGCTATATGGAGGGGCTGGAATAGAGCCAGGGTACTCTGAACAGTGTTAGTGGGGTCCACTAGAGCTGTTTCCAACTTAACTTTTTTTTTTTTTTTTTTGGTTTTTATGAGACAGGGTTCTCTGTATTGTTTTGGAGGAGCGCAAGCATTATGGTTAAACATTCCTACTACTAAGGGTTCATTCCTAGGCTACAGACTCCTACATAGAATTTTAAAACTAATAGAGGAGCTGGACAAGACTTTCTTTCATCTTTTGTCAGTGACAGAGGAATGGGGCTGTGATGACAGGGCAGAGCTAAGGCAAGTGTCTCAGTGGCAGAGCACCTCCTCAGCATGCGCAAGCCCCTGGCTTCCATCTGTGGCACCACAAAAGAGGAGGTGGAGGGTAGCAGAAGTTTTACCTCAGATAGTGAGGAAGATGATGAGTTATTATCGCCTTGTTGACAGACAAGTAACTGGATGAAGGAGAAGAATGCATTACTGATGCATATGAGAAGTGAAGATTATTAAACAGAAAGACAAAATGTAAGTGCCAGTGCTTACTGACTGACCAAGGTCACCTGAACTGGCTGCAAGGAATTAAACCAGGCTTAGATTGGAGGGGCCACAGCAAGATTGAAGCTGTGACAATTTTATTGAGCACAATCAGACTTTTTATACCTTTATCAGAAACAGAATATGATGGTAATTTCCAGCATCAATACAGTGGCAGTTGCCAGGAAACAATGAAGGTTGAATATCATACAGGGTACACAAAATTAATGTCTAAGACTAATTGTCCGGTCAAGCTTTCATGCTTCCTTGACTACTAAGGGAACATGAAGAGAAGCCTAAAATTGCCTGAACACTTCACTGCCTGAGGGAGTGCATTGGTCTCTTAGGAACTGGTTGTCACATTGAACTCCAGGAGCCATGGACTCTAACTGAGAAACCTATGACACATGCTTCTCAAAGCAGCTGGGCCAAGGCAACTCCATGGTTCCCTGTACCCAAAGATAGAAAAAAAGTTATAATGATTCCATAGAGCTAAGGCATATGAAATATACCAGACAAGGGGGCACTGTGCAGATAAGTGACAGTTTAGGATGGTGGTCCACAGACTGTCATTGGCTTCAATGATTCCATAGGATTAAAATATGGATGAACTGTATCAGGGAAGAAAGGTTCATAGAATTTATAGATGAGAGCTCCGTGGTTGGAAACATCATAAAAAGAGAGAGTACAAGCTTCTCTGTCCAGGAAAACTCCAACACGACTGGGAGGACGAGTCAGAGAGAGGACCAAGACACTGGCATTGCGGGTGACAGAACACTCTACAAAGGCATTATATACGAACCTATTCCTCATCCCTATAACCCAGTAGCCACATTTAGGTTGATAATTTTCATGTTGTTTATCGTGAGAATTATACATGCTGCCCATTTGATTTATTGAATGAAGTTGGGCTTGAGCACATCTTCCATCATTTAATCCAAGGATCCAGGCATCACACCCAGACACGTCTACTTCCCAGTAATGTTTCCCTGACTGCATAGCTGGAATTCCAAGGACACCTAAATCAGAGGTTTTATAATCTTGCAAAGAACTTGTATATCTGTATTGACGTTGAATTTGTCTTTTTTCCATGTTAATGGCAACATGTTTATTACGCACTTGACGCAGGGTCACATGAACTGCAGAAAAATGAGACATAGAAGTTAAGTCACACGAGAGGCAAGGTACAGTATTATTTGTGATGTAAGGAGCAGAAGCCTAAGGAGGAAGTGAGAGGAAACTTGGAGGAACTGTGTTTAAAGTCAAGAAGATGCAGATTGCTGTGTTTATTGGCAGAAGTAACAGGAAACATCAGGTTTAATGGAGATATAAACTCTGAAAGGCATTAAGAAGAGAGTGGCATATAGTGCTGTGATTTCTCCTTACCCCAGTAGCGCTGGGCATCCATTTGTCCTGAAATCATGAAAATTCACAGCATTAAATGCTAGCAAAGAAATCAAAACATTAAAGTCAATCTCCTCTACAGATTAGAGGAAGGATTTTAAATTGAGATGAACGATGGGATGGATGATGATTTTTCATTTAATATGATGATATCACTGGGACACACTATCTGCTCTTCTGAGTCCTCTATCCATGTGCAGAAACATCACTCTCTTCCCAGACAATATAACCCCAGCCACAGATGGAATCCCCCAGTTAATCACCGAATGCAGCTGTTCTCACCTTGAAGCTCTTGCAGCATGCCTTTTACATCTGGAGCTTGGAAGATCCTTCTCTGTTTTCTTGGGATCATTTTGGGTAGTTTCACTCTTAAGGTCTGACTCCTAGGGACAAAAGATTGACATCCACACCTCAGACAGTGTGACCTTGGCCATAACTGACTCTCTTTCATTCTAACTAAAGCTGTCCTGGAGCTCTCTTGAGAAATCCGAGAAGGGAAATAGTTGATAGGCTACTAAGTCGGCAGACATGAGAGACTCACTACCCTCCCCATGCCCCACTTACTTGCTGTGTGATGTTGGGAAAGCCCTACTCCCCAGGGAGCAGACCTCCTCAATTTGTAATCAAAAACTTGCTCCCCTACTCTCCCTCCCAGAGCTCTTATGAAATGATGAATTCCGAGTTTAAAAAGAAATGAACAGAAGGTAGCTAAAAAATGACGTGTGGGCTGAGCGTGAAGTAACAATCATTTAATCCCTGTGCTTAAGGGATAGAGTCAGGAGGATCTCTGAGTTTGAGGTGAGCCTGGTATACAAAGTGAGTTAAAGGCAAGCCAAGGCTACACAGAGAAACCCTGTGTGAAAACCAAATGAGAGAGAGACAGAAAGACAGAGAGACAGGAAGGAAGGAAGGAAGGAAGGAAGGAAGGAAGGAAGGAAGGAAAGAAGGAAGGGAGAAAGGGAGAAAGGAAGGAAGGGAGAAAGGGAGAAAGGAGATGGGTTTTCATGACCAGTCTAAAGCAGGTGATTCAGAAGCTGCTCCTGGGTAATAGAGTCATGGAGTGTGAGAAAATCATCTGAAGAAAGCCAAAACATCAAACACTTTTTGCCAATATGGACACTCTTGCCAGCTCCTGAATCTTCAAGTTCTTTTTTAAGATGACAATTTTGGCAAAGGAGGAACACCAAATTAATAATAACATGAGCCCCATATGTTCAGAACGAGCCTGATTCCGGCAGCCTGGGTGTGACTCTTCACATACAAGGGCACAGCTTTCCAGTCTTCTGAAGTATGTGACTCATGTGGAACAACTGGACCCACAGACTCAAGTCTGTTTGTGAAAAAGCTAAGCACAACCACAAAGAAACTCTGGATCTCTCCCATCCCACAAGAAACACACAGATCCCCAGGAATTTTCCCAATGTGCAAATCTGTGAACATTGCAGCCAAGGAAGACACAGCCTAGCTAGGATGAATCTATGAATCAAGTCTTGTTAACTGCAGACAGCCAGACACAAGCACACAGCGTGAATAGAATGAGGGAACCACAGGAGTCTGAAAGCACCTGAGACTCCATTTGCCTCATCCCACTGCTGAGCCTAACTCTGGACTCCCCATTACCCAGTCCCCTAAAAGAGAATCAATCTGTTCTCAGTAGTTACAAAACAGACAGACCCTGACACCCCCCTCCCCCTCCCTCCCATTTGGAACTTCAGAATAACATTTTGTCTAAATCCCCCAAACCCTTGACACTTTTATTCTAGTTGGACAACAGGTCTAATCTTCCCTGTCAGCCCACACATACCTTGTTAGGACAGAATTCACAGCCTGGAGAGGAGGGAGAAAACACAGTTAACAACATGTTCTGCATGTTCTTGCACATCGGGGTCACACTCTCACTGGCCAAAGAGACAAAGTCAAAAGAGAATCAAGCCAGCCACCCTTCCCCCACACTCCAGTTCTCCAAGACATGATGTTATGTGATGCATCCCTCTTTACTTGAGCTACATGTAACCTAATGGATTATTTTCTGTCTCTTACTACAAGACATGGAGATCAAGGATGAATACACAATAGTTTCAAAGCTTATATACATTTTGCCATGTTTACAAACTAAACACAAAAACACAGGACTTTTCACTTGCTCCATGTTAGCTATCCATTACCTTACTTGCAACTAACATGTCTGACAAGCTGATTTCCAAATTATTTTAGTCAGTTAGACACAATTTAATAATTTAGTAATGAAGAAGCCACAAGGAACAGAATTTTAGATTGTCTGATATTTAAAATCAACTAAACATATCTCCCTTTCTCTCTTTTTTCTCTCTCTCTGTCTCAGCAGAAAAAGAAATTAAAGAGAAATGTGTTCTTTCTAGTTCACAAACCATTTAAACAATGACTCCCATCCCCAAAATGGTAATTTCACTAGTAATCTCATACTGGGAGAGGAAACCAAGTCTAGCTAGAAGGAGACCTGACCTCCTAAAAAGATTTCAAATCGTTTTAATTACTTGCCAGCCCACCTTAAGTCCAAGTCTACCCCAGATAACAATGGGGTAAGAATGATGGACAGGACCACACCTTGACCTGGAATACTCATATGTACATACTCTTTCTGTCTCTGTTTAAACTTTGATCTTTCTTAGGGAAACTGAAGATGGACAGAGGGTTTTTTTTAAAATCTTCGTCTATCTTTGAAATGCAGTCAAAAATATTCTTTTTCTGGTTTCTAATATTGGTTCTTTTATATGGGACAGATATCAAGACTTGATCCACCAGATCAACTTTGATATATTATGTAGGCACCTCAGTTAGCCATTTGTCCAGGGCTAGAGACCTAACACTATTCTTGCATTTTTGGTTTTCAGTGGATATTGGTAGACTTTAGTAAAGTTACATTCTTTAACAAATGTAAACTTTCTCCTAATTGCTAACAATTACCAGGAGCTCCTTGGGTGTGCTTGCAATTTGTAAGGAAGCCCACTTTCCATAGTAGAATTTGGTGTGGTTTAGGTTTGCAAAGGTCTTGGGTTTGGTGTCACAACCAATTGTAGCTCATATGTGCTGCTGCTAAGCTATGCCTAGAATACACTGTTGTCCTTGTAGACCTTCATCATCTCTGACTCCCACAGTCTTTCTGCCCCTTCTTCTGTAATGATCTGTGGGCCTTTAAATTAGAAATGGTGTATATAAATTCCATTTAAGTCTGGACATTCTGTACTCTCTTACACACTCCACCTTGGCCAGTTGGGTGTTTGACTATGTACCCCCGCTGTCTTGGAACTCATTTTAAAGACCAGGGCTGTTCTTGAACCCATGTAGCTTCGTTAACTTCTGCATTCCAACTGCTGTAATTAAAGGAGTGAGCCAGCACACCTTGTATATAATTTTCATTGTTACATGCTTCTCATGTTTTTCTGTGTGTGTATGAGAAGTTCTCAAGTTCTGGGATCACAGGCAATAGAGGCTTGACTACACATGGCTTTATTTTTTATTTTATATAACATAAACCACCAACAGTAGATCCCATAGTAAAAGGAATTCTGGGGAGGACTAATCATTCAAGTTATAGGTAAATTCTGATGCTCAAAGTTGTTTTCATAGTGACATCTGCATGAACATTTCCATTGAGTCATTACCATAGAAGATAAAATGAGACAACAGGGGAACTAATCAACAGAGGAGTGGATGAAAATGATATGGTAAGCATGTATGTTAAAATATTAGACATTTAATAAGAAGTATTTACATTTGTGGTACTTTGACTGAAGTCAGAGAATTTAGGTTACACTAAACCAGCTGGGCACAGGAAAAACCAACACTAAGTGCTATAAATTAAACATGTATGATGTACAAACATTAATCTCACAAAGTGAATATTAGAATTTGGGTCATCAGGGGCTGGAGGCAGGGAAAGGTGGGCAGATTCTTTGGAGAAGAGATGTAATTTCAGGCTTATAGAGCATAGTGGCTATAGTTAGCATCTATATGAAGTAGCTGAGTTTAGTCTGTATGGATAACTGTGTCTAATAATGGTGATGAATGAATGTTCTCAATAATTATTAAATCAACACAATGAAAACCAATAAATTAATGCAGCGTGAGAAGTTCCTACAACTGCCAAGGTCTATAACATCGACAATTGAAATAAAAGAAACATTCCTACAGAGATATTCATCACCAGAATATGGCTTTGGTTTAAACAATTTAAAAATGTGATAGAGATGAAATATAATACAAACTCTACACCTGTAAAACTTTACACCTTTCATCTAAGAAATTCAAAGATAGAGGCAGGGAAAACTTTCTGAGATATTGAATGGATATTAACCTCCCACTGATCATATCACTGGTCTCAGAGGCAGAGATGGTGAAAGTCTCCAAACATGCAAGGGGAGAAATAATTCCTACTAATTTTAAATTCAAGTGAAGCAGTAATGACAGTTAAAAATGTGCTTCACATATGCTCGACATTACAGCAGCATAGTAACCACCCATGAAGCAATACATCTTCTCTCCAAGCTTCAGCTTTTTTTTGTTTGTTTGTTTTGTTTTTTTTTTTGAGACAGTGTTGCTCTGTGGCTTTGGAGGCTATCCTGGAACTAGCTCTTGTAGACCAAGCTGGCCTCGAACTCACAGAGATCCACCAGCCTCTGCCTCCCAAGTGCTGGGATTAAGGCGTGCGCCACCAACGTCCGGCCAAGTTTCAGCTTTTGTACAGTATTTGATAAGCTAAAAACACAATTTCTCCTTGCCACCCATCCATGCAATGATTCCACAGCCTCTGAAACTGGCTCAGGAAAGAGTTCAGGGAGGGCACAGAGAACCCTATTGTCATTAGCACAGAGGGAGGGCAATGTCTTCCAGGTCTCCTGACTCTCAGATGCTGGGACCTCCTGCGGTCTTACCTGCAGCATTTCAATGGTTGAGCACTGCAACTGATGCTCCACATCTGAGATGAGGTCTCTCACTGCCTCCCTCTGCTTCTCCAGCTCAGTTTGAGACTCTGCCAGGCTGTTCATGATGCCTTCCTTCTCCTGCATCAGCTTCTGCAGCTCACTCTTCTCCTTGGAGTCCAGGAATTCCTGCAGTCCTTTAAACTTCATCTGAACATTTTCTACATCACTCTGTATTTGGGTCTTGAGGGATAAGAAAGGGGAGAGGAATTCAGACTATCCTGATGGGAGGGGATGACAGAAAACCACTGTTGTGATGAGAACTGTTCACAAGGAACTGAGCGTGGGGAGGGAAGGGAGTCTTAGTGAAGCATGTGTCTCCCTTTCAGGGTCTGTTCATGACATTCCAAAACAAAGATCTTCGCTCACATTTACCAAGGCCACCTGTATCAAAGTGGGATTCTTGGGTGTGGCTCAGTTTTCCACACAGCTGTTCCAGACTCCTATTCCTGCCTGCAATACTCCTCTTTCTACCTCTGAACCCCTCAGATTAGTTAACCACAAGAACAGAACAAGTGACTGTTCCAAAGTATCTTCCCAAAAGTCGTAGTTACAGAGAACACCACAGGAGTGAAACCCAGGACTCATGTCATCAATCACCAGGATCCTCATGGTGTTAGTTCCTCACATGGTCAGGCTCAGTTGTGAGGCACTCACTGTGCAGCCCCAGCTCCAAGGGAACACGTAGAGAGGACTAATCAAGGTCCCTTGACCTCATCAACTACCAGGGAGTGAAGAGTCAGGGAGCTTCTTGCCCAGGTCCCTCCCAGACATCAGGCTAACTCTCTTAGGAAGGGTCCCCACTTGCCTCCCAGTATGTTTTCTCCTTTTGAAGATAATCTTCCCATTCATCACATCTTTTCTCATTTGCCATCTGTGTCTGCAGAGCTGCCTGGAGCTTCCCCTGTGGGAGAGGAATTGTAGCAGAGTCAAGCTCTGTGCTTAGTAGGATGGTTGTTTTAACCAAAGATCAAAGATCAAAAAAACAAAACAAAACACCCTTCTGGAAAGACAGGACACTTAAAACAGTTTTCTTTTTATAACTTGTGTCATGATTTATGCACAGAAATCATGTAAATCTTCAGTTTACAGCTCACCCAACTCTTGTATTTATACACACAACCTCCATACAGACAAAGACACAGATGTCTTAGTCAGTCATGCTACCAATTACAAACCTGCCACATGCATATTCTCTTCACTGCTGTATGTCATTCATTTACTAACCCAGTGCTGATGGTAACTGGATGGACTTTAGGTAATGTGAGTGAATCTGACATTGATGTGGAAAGAAGATAAATATGGAATAAATTAGCAGTTCTTCTGCTCATGGCTTTTCTTTGTCATCCTCTCTGCTTCACAGGGACACTTAAAAACTAATTTTTTAACCTAGTATTTGTATTCCAGGCAGATTCTCATATGATTAAGTGAATCATCATGTCTTTCTAGGACTCTAAAGGTCAGAAAGGATGGACTGATACCTCAAGCCTCCCATCTATGATGTCCCAGTAAGTAACCAACTTGGCATTTCCCAACTTTTACAGTCTCCTGCTCTGTGTCCTACATTCTCCCTCTTCTTACCTCATACTTATAGGTCACCTCTTCAATGAGAGCTGTTTGGTGACCACGGTGATCCTGAGATCTCTCACAAAGCCAGCAGATGGTCATCATGTCATTCTCACAGAAGAGCTGGAGTTTCTCTCCATGTCGTGCACAGACGTTGACCTTCTGCTCCTCCTCTGGGCTGGACTTGAACTCATTGAGTCTCTCCACTACATTGGCCACATGTCGATTAGGTCTCAGATTCCCAAACAGGTAAGTAACTCGGCACACAGGGCAGATGCCCTCCCCTTCTTTGACTTTGCTAGCCTCATAGTTCAGTGTGATGCAGGCTCTGCAGAAGCTGTGGTCACAATCGGCACTCACAGGTTCCTTCAGGAGCTCCAGGCAGATAGGACAGGTCACCTCCTCCTTGATCATCACCAGGACTGATGAGGCCATTGTTGCTGTGACCCTGGGTCCGTCTGTCTGTCTTGACTACGGACACACTGCTCAGGTTCCTGTGTGATTGGGATGACGAAAAGGAAATCAGAAAGAATGGGAAAATCAGGAGGGATATTGTGCATAGCTAAATGAAATACCTCATGATAAGGGAAAAGAGCAAAGTAGAGAAATATGCGAAGAAATTTAGTCACACAGCAATCATACTTTCACGTCCTCTAATATATTTCATTCCAAATGACAAGAAAATACAAGAAGCCTGTTGCTGGGATCGGTGATTGGAATATAGGACCTCTTATAAATGTTGCCAGCTGTGGAAGGTACTAAATAAGGATAGCATAATAACAACCATCTTTATATTCATTCCTACTGCATTCTTAGAGACTAACACAGCTAAGCTTCTATGTCTCTGTGTCTGCTTATCTTCCTGTATAGCATACTTTCAAGGCCTGCAGTCCAGGCTCTACCACCCCTCTGCCACCTGGCCTGCAATCCAGACTCCTCCAGCCACAGACTTGTGTCCTTGGAACATATCCTGCCAAGACCAAGCTCCCTGCTTCAAAGCAATAGCCTCTCCCACCTAACCCCCCTGCTCTGCCAAGCTTCCTGCTTCAACCAGTATAAGAATCCTTGTGAGAAAATAAAAAATTGCAGCTTTATCAGAGAGCCTGTCTTGTTGTCCGTTCTTTGTGTCTCTTGTCCCTTTCATTCCAGGTTCCTGTGGGCTAGACCTTTCTTGTGCCCTGCTGGCCAGGGCAGCCTGCCCATCCCCCAGCCCAGCCTAAAAATTCAGCTGGAGAAATTAAGAAAAGGTTTGTCTGGTTTAAATGCGTAAATATGGTCCCTGAATGTTTATTTATAAATTTATGACTCAACAATGTTCAATGCATCCTGGCTGCAGCCCTTACAGCCTAAACTTAAAATTTACCTCTGGATGCTCTGGTTATTAGATCTGATACAATAAGATTTACTACTACTACTACTACTACTAATATCTTAAAATTATACTATAAGTTCTTTCCTCAGGAATTGTTGATTGCCCATTGAATATGGTTTAAAATCTATTTAATTTATAATAAAATCTGGCTTTAAACTTACAACAAATGTCTTATAATTAAATAATTTCATACCAGTATATATATGTATATGTATATGTTGTATATGTGTATATATATAAACTCCTGTATAATATATTTAAGATTTAACTATATATAAAGATAAGTTGCATTTAAATATGTATATATGTGCTTACAATTTAGATCCAACTATTTTTTTTGTTTTGTTTTGGTTTTTGAGACACGATTTCTCTGTATTGTTTTGGAGGCTGTCCTGGAACTCACTGTGTAGACCAGGCTGACCTCAAACTCCAAGCGATCCTGCTGCTTCTGCTTCCCAACTATTGTTTAAAAAAGCACTTTATATAACACTTCTTAGTCTTAATAAGTTCTCTATGCATTTTGTCTTCTTGTAGACTAAGGAAGCAATAAGTCTCAAATGTTTTGGATTGGTATGGACTTCTATATGATGATGAAAATATATGGTGAGAGCTGTTACAACATATACTGTATAAGTGATTCAACTGTGATCTAGAAAATACTCTATGTGCTGATAAAAATGTAAAGTTATATAGGGCCTGAAAGTTCCACTTGTAATTGTGTTTCCTTTAAATTCCTAAATGTTAACTTTTGTCTCCAGTCTATATCTGTTTCAGCAGGTTTGCCCTCGGGTGACAGTCACATCCAGGCACTAGCTGCTGACTTAAAGCTATGAGCCCTGGACTTGCTAAAAGCTGATATGGACCAACCCCGCTGATATGAATGTTCCTTGTCTCCAGCTGGGTCAAATTAAACACCTCAGGTAAGGGCCCCATTGCCTAAATTCCCTCTGCACCTTTAACTACCCTTTTAGGCTTCCTGGACCTGACCATCATTTCCTGGTTTCAGCTTGAAGCATCTATAGAAGAGAGTACATCATCCCCGACCCAAAAAGGGCTAAAAAAAGGCCAAGTCAAAAACAAACAAACAAACAAAAACAACAACAACAACAACAAAAATTCAACAAAAAACGTTCCCTAATAATCAACAAAAAACGTTCCCTAATAAAGGGGAAAATTATCTACCTGTAATGTAATGCCTGTTGACGTACCAGAAAAATTATCTGTTACACCCAATAGACCCAACTCTGCCAACAGATAGAGTCAAAACTAAAATAATTCTGTAATATAATAAGACACTCAACCTACTCTCAATAAAATAGAGAGGTTGTTAAATGACCTTAAGAGGATCAAAATGAATCTAAAATTGATTTTGGTAGTAACACAAGAGTGGAAATGAAGGGTCCAGGAATATAAATATTTAAAACTGTAAGCAGAAGCACATTTTAGAAGAAATAATATAAAGCTGGCAGCCATTTAACCTTTAACAACCACTGTCTGCCTTAAGAGCAGACATCCTGGCAGCCACTGTATACAGAGGTAAACTTATAACAATTGTCTCCTGCCTCCCAGATTCCCAGCTAGGGAGGTAACCTTGCAGACAAGGTTAGCTGCTAACTATGGCCTCTATGAGACCCGCTGTGTTGTGGATCCTTAATTTTTAACTGTCCTCCTATGTGGCTCTACTCTCTGCCTTGCATTCTTTCAAGGACAGTGGAAAGTGGCTGTGTCAGTCACAGGCTTTTGCAAACATCCTTAGTTAACATCCTAACATCCTATAAGCAAAAGTTGTAAAATTTAAAATATAATATGACTTTAAGCCTGACCTCAAAGTTGTAAAAGTTCTTTGACACATAGCTGGAGCTTGATTTTAGTATAAGAAGAGGCTCCAAACTGGCCCACATTGCCAAAGTTTCAGAAACCTGATTTCTGGCTGTGTTCCCAGTTAACTGGTAAGCTTTTGTGCCCTGTGGTGATTTTCTTTTAATAAAGTATGCTTCTGGTATTATAGATTTCAGTGGTCTTTCCCCCATTGTTTACATGTCCCTCAGACCCCATGAAAATGTAACACACTTTAAAATAATATTCCTCAGCAATCTTGGTCTAGAAATTTGACAAAGAAATTGATGGGAGATCCCAGGTTTGAATGCCAGCAAGATACTGAGTTCAAAACCCCATGAGAAATTATACTTCAATGTACACCAATTTCACCCAACAACAGGCGATATTAGTTCAGTATGAAAAAGCAATACACACCGCACACCTCATCAGAAATGGAAGATACGAAACCCTGCCCATTCTTTGCATCAAAATATTTGACAATACACACAAGTGTTTCAGGAATAAAAATTCTATAAATGTCTAGCTATAGAAATAAGTTTCCTTATTTTAAAGCCATACATGAATAGCCCACTGATAATCTCATAACAGATTTAAGGCAATGGAAAGCCTTTTCTGAAAAGTCATGCATAAAACAATGGTGCTTATTTTTTTGTCATTTTTAGGAAACACAGCAGGGACAAGAAAGCATCTACAACAGAAGACTCGAAAAATAGATAATATGTGTGCATATTAATTATTTTGTCGTCTTATGTCAATAAAGCACTGTTGAGCCAATAGGGAACCAAGATAGGAGGGACTAGGAGTCCAGGAGGACTCTGGGAAGGAGAAACACAGGAGAGTCGAGATGTAATGCCATGGGGTAGGAAGCCCGGAAACTTCTCCGGTAAGAGACATACTTAGATTAATAATTATGGGGTAATTACTTAAGTCAGAGCTAGTCAGTAAGAAACAAGCAAGGTCAACAGCTTCATAATTAATATAGCCTCCTGTGTGTTTATTTGGGACTGATGAGGCTCTAGAACCAGGCTGGTGGGAAGGCTTTGTCTCAAAGAAAAAGCTTCTCTCTTTTTTTTTTTTTTTTTTTCTGAGACAGGGTTTCTCTGTGGCTTTGGAGGCTGTCCTGGAACTCGCTTGATAGTCCAGGTTGGTCTCACAGAGATCCGCCTGCCTCTGCCTCCCGAGTGCAGGGATTAAAGGCATGCGCCACCAACACCCGGCAGGAAAAAGCTTCTCTTAACAGTTGTTGGTTTGTTTTTGTTTTTCAAGACAGGGATTTGTGTATTACAGTCGCCCTGGAATTACTTTGTAGACCAGGCTGGCCTTGAACTCCAGGAGTTCCAACTCTCTCTTCCTCCTGGGTGTTTGGATTAAAGGCTTCTGCCACTACCACCAGGTCACATTTGTTTTCCAGATGAAAGAAAAGGCAGCAAGCTCAGTAGAGATTCACATGCAATACACAGCACAGAAAAAAGTCACAGATAGTGAGGGACCAGAAATGAAACTAAGAAGCTGGGCCTGTTGGTGCTGGCCTCTAAACCTGGATTCTTGGGAAACTGATGCCAGAGGACAGCAAGTTCAAGGCTCTATAGCAAAACAGTGTTACACCTGGAACACAGTGAAAGGGAGGTGGGAAGAAGGCTCAGTGGTTGAGTGCAACCTGTTGTCACAGAGGATACCCAGTAACCAGGGAGCCAGTCCTGATCACCTTCTATGGCACTGGGTTGCTATATCATCCTTCAAATAGCCCCACTCCAGAAAAATACATCTTTTTGAAAGGACACACCAGGGAACACTATGTTTTTTCAGTTCAACAATAAGGCTGCAGACATCTTGTTTCTTTTGTGACTGGGGTATGTGATGGCTAAGGAAAATCCATTGTAAATTCCTAAAAGCTCCTGGCAGCTCTCACTTCTTGCTACCCTCACCCAAATTATAAAAGCACTGTGAGATAATTGACTGCTTCCCCTGGCTTTTGTGACCCACTTAGTGCTGGGTGGCAGGGAGTGCAAGCTTCTCACAGCTGAGGGGAGTACAGCAGTTTCTCAGCAAATACACATTCAGAAAGGAGACAATTGTGCTGCCACCAAAAACAAACAAACAAAGAAAAGAAGCAAAAAAAAAAAAAAAAGAAAGAAAGAAAGAAAGCCTCCTCCAGTCTCTTCTGTGTAACAAGCCTTAGACTTCTCCATGAGGCTGTTGTTGGCCTACTAGCAGTCATTAATATAGTTTGTGGTCTTTTTCTGGTGGATTTGAACTATGTACCAGGTAACTTTTTTTTTTTGGTATTTATTCATTCATTTATATTTGTTGGTTTTTTTGTTTTTATATCCTGACCCATATTTCCCTCCTCTCCTCCCAGTCCTATCCCCAACCTCTCCCCTCCCACTCCCATCAACTCCTCCTCCAGTTCTCTTTAGAAAAGAGCAGGGCTCCCATGGGTACCAACCAACCAAGGCATGACGTTTTCGATAAAACTTGTATCTTTAAGGTTGCTGAAACGTCAAAATATTAATGTCACAAGAGTAATGGAACTTTTTCCAAATGGGCTAGGTGAAGAATTTGTCCCTGGGCTCATTTACTAAGTAGTATTATCTGGAACAACTTTATGTGTATTCCCTATTTGTTGGCAAATTTAAAAACTGGACAACTGTAATGTGAGCATTGTAATATCACATAACGTATGATGGTAAAGACAGTCAATGCCTAAGTTCAAAAAAAGAGGTGTCCACAACTGACTAAAAGCAGGAGAGAGCAAAGGACAATCCTCAAAGTCAACACAGGGCAGGCCTGTGTCCTCTGGTGATTACATTAGCTTGGGTGAAGCTAGCTTTCATGGCTCTCAAGATCTTCCTAACAGAAGACATCTTTCAGTCTTTACAGTATTAAAGTCCATCAGGAGCTTTGTTGTTCCTTCAAAGGTAGAAACTTCCTGGGGCTGCGCTGTCTACCTGTAACTCCAGTGTCTGTGGAGGGTGACACAGGGCAGTTTCACAAGGTTAGCCTGGGCTATGTAAGGGTATCATGTCCCAGAAGTAGAAAAGTTGTCATTTTTTAGAAAGTGTGCTCTCCCAGTGTTCTCATACACTGTTTCTTTGTTCCCATCACCTCCTTCTCTGTGTCTTTCTTTGGTATTGAAACCTGGGCATAGTACAAACTTGAAATCGGCACCTACACCCCACTAACTGCACCCCAATAAGCAACACCCTTTTGGTATTTTTTCCTTTGGACGTGGTCTTATTGTGTCTTCTGGCAGGTCTTGGCTTTGAATCTTCCTGCACCAGCTATCTTTGTAGTTGGAATTACTTGTCTGGCCTGAATTTTATTTAGGCATGGCATATATGGACCTAGGCAAATGTAATGATTTTTAAGTAACATTAGAAATTCCCTACAGACTTGAGGCTGATCATAGTACAAGTAAATGTATAAGAGGCTGCAGAAAAGATTGGGACACCAGTCACAGAGACAGAAGCAAAGGGAATAAACCCATAGAATCATGGATAAATACACTATTACACAGAGAGATCTTAAACTCTGCTTTCATACACCATTATCACTTTACTTCTTCAGTGGTCAGTTTGGGAAACAGACATGGACAGCAGTGTCTCTCTTGCAGCAGGAGATACTTGGTACTACCCAAAAATAAACATTAGGAACAAGAGAGTGAACTCTATCTGGAGAAATAATTGGACCTGTCTGGACTTTGAAACCTCTCTTCCTCAAGGCTGCCCTCTCTGTCTTCCTCCTGATTTCTAGAGCACCCAGCAGGAAGCAAGCAGTCCCCCATTACCCACCCCTTTTTATTTTCAAATTCACTCACCAGAGTACTGAGAGTTTTCTTCTAAATTCCTCCAGACTCTGCCCTCTAAATTTGCTCTCACACCTTCTGATGCCAACCAAGAGATCCCGACTGTGTGTAGAGGAGTAAATGGAGGCCACACTGAGAATTCGGTCCTTAAAAAAATTCTGGTGAGCCAGAAGAGAAGCGAGAAAGTTAAGACTTTGAGGGCTGGAACTGAGAAAGAGAAACTACAGACCGCCCAGCCAATGAGGTGTCACCACATTGATACGTGTGGTTCTACCATCAGAGGGAGACAATTGCCTTGAGTCAGGAGCTTGGCACATTTTTCAGTGTTCCAGGAACTAGTCACTTCTTTAGGCTCATGTCACAATCACCCTAAAAGATCCTTACATTCAGGAAAGAAAGCCTTTTCCATGGGCTCTTCTTCCACAAGAGCCCCAGGCCGGGTTTTGCCTTGGGTGCCGGGTGTGACCCAAAGGGAAGGAAAAACAAGCTGAGGGACAGAGGACTGCAGGGTTCCTCTGGAGTTGGACTTGTGCACTTACAGGATGAGAACAGGAAGGAAGCTGTATTCAGGCAGCTGACACACAATCAAGAATTGGCACCCAGCAGGGACAGGATGGGGAGGATTCCCCTGCAGAGCCATGCAGAAACACTTCCCCACACTCACAGCAGTAAAACTAGCAAGTGCAGAGGCTCTCCAGCTGTCCAGTGCTGTCCTACAGATTATATCTTCTGTTGCTGAACAGACCAAGTCCTCTTCACACTGCTGATGTGACACATTCATTGTATCCCTTCCAGGAATCCCTCACTGGAATGTCTCAGGAGTCTCCACATGAGTTAGGAGTTCTATTAAAGATGTATGATATTGCCTCTGCACCCCTCAATTAAAAGCTGAAAATATGTAGACCTTGGGATGAGGTTGAGTTGGCATAGTTGGTACCTAGCAGAGTGGAATCCTGGGGTGGATCGTCAGCTCTGTACAATACTACTTGTGGTGGCACAGTTACTTTTTATTGCTGTGTGTCTTAGTATAGTTTCTATTTCTTTGAAGAGACACCATGTTCACATGAACACTCACAAGTGAAAACATGTAATTAGTGCAGGCTTACAGTTCAAGGGTTTCTTAGTCCATTATCATCATGCCTGGAAGCTTGGCAGCATTCAGGTAACATGGAGTTGGAGATGTGCCTGAGACTTCTACATCAGCATCAGTAGGAAACAGGAAGAGAGTAAGTCACTAGGCATGGCTTGAGCCTAATGCCCACCCCTTCTGACACACTTCTCCAACAGGAAGGTCATACCTCCTAATAGTGCCCACTTCTTATGAGCCAGTTTTCATTCTAACCGTCAGACTGTGTTAAACACCATGACTGAGGCATGATTTGGGGCTTACAGTTGGAAAAGGTTAGAGATCATGGACGACATAGTTGGGTACATGGCAGCAGACAGGGAGGCATGGTGCTGGTATAGGAGATGAGCGTCCACCCTGGAGATTAAAATCTGAGGCAGAGATAGAGAGACACTGGGAATGGCTAGAATGGATTGAAATCTCAAAGGTCACATCCATGCTGCATAAACTCCAATAATGGCTCACCCTCTACATGTGTCCTAAACAGTCCCACTAATTGGGAATCATTTGTTTAAGGATATGAGCCCATGGAGGCCATTCTTCTTCAAACCACCACAGCTCCCATGCCTTGGAGCTTATAGCAGGAGGATCAGGAGCTCAAAGGCCATCTTCAGTAACAGGGGACTTTGATGCCAACAGACTGATATATGTAAGAATCTTTCTTAAAAAGGAAGTTGTATGAGGAGAACAATGAGCAGTCACCATTTTCAGTTTCTCCTCTCATTCCTGTTTATTCTCCTTTCTACTAATATTTTTCATAAGTAGTGACAGCAGATATGATACTGGAGTTTTTAAGTTTTTTTTTCATTTTACATACCAACCACAGTGCCCATCCCTCCCCATCTTCCCACTGTTCCTCCACCTCCCCTTGCCCCATCCACTCCTCAGAGAGTTCAGGGCTTCCCTTGGGGAGTCAAGGATGTCTGGCATACCAAATTGAGGCAGGAACAAGCCCATCCCTCCTCATCAATGTTAATCAATGTATCCTATCATAGGGAATAGACTCTAGAAGCCAGTTTATGCAACTGGGATAATCCTGGTCCCACTGCCAGGGACCTCACAAGCAGATCAAGCCATATAACTGTCACCAACATTCAGAGGGCCTTGTTCAGTCCCATGCAGGTTCCTCAACTGTCAGCCCAGAGTCTGTGAGCTCCCACTAGCTTGGGTCAGCTGTCTCTGTAGGTTTCCTGATCATGATCTTGACCCTCCGTGCTCATATGAACCCTCCTCCTTCTCTTCAACTGAACTCTAGGAGCTTAACCGAGTGTTTGGCTGTGGATCTCTGCATCTGCTTCCATCAGTTACTGGATGTAGGTTCCATGATGACAATTATGGTAGTTACTAATGTGATTACAAAGGAAGGCCAGTTCAGGCACCCTGTTCTCTATTGCTGGGAGTCTTAGCTGAGGTCATCCTTGTTGATTCTTGGGAATTTCCCTAGTACAAGTTTTCTCCCACACCCGCTAATGGCTCCCTCTCTTAATATATCTCTTTCATTGCTCTCCCTCTGGGTCCCTTACCCAATTTTTCCATCTGGACCTCACATGTTCCCATTTGCCTATCTTCTCCCTTCTATCCCTCCTCCAAGCTTACCCAGGAGATCTCAACTATTTTCCCTTCCTGGGACCCTCCTTGTGTGTCCCTCTAAGGGACCACCTTTTAACCTAGTTTCTCTGGGTTGTGGATTATAGCCTGGTTATCCTTTTCTTTGTGTCTCGTATCCACTTATGAGTGAATACATACTGTGATTGTCTTTCTGAGTCTGGGTTACCTTACTGAGGATGTTTTTTTCTAGTTCCATTCAAATTTCATGATATCATTCTTTCTTACCACTGAGTAATACTCCATCGCAAATGTACCACATTTTCCTTATCCATTCTTCAGTTGAGAGGAATCTAGGTTGTTTTCAGGGTCTGGTTATTATTAATAATGCTGCTGTGAACATAGTTGAGCAAGTGTCTTGTGGTATGACTCAGCATCCTTTGGCTATGTGCCCATCAGTGATATTGCTGGGTCTTGAAGCACTTTGATTCCCAATTTTCTGAGAAACCACCATACTCATTTCCCAAGTGGCTAAACAAGATTGCACTCTGACCAGCTGCAGAATAGTGTTCCTCTTATTTCATATCCTCTTTTTTTTTTTTTTTTTTTGGTTTTTTGAGACAAGGTTTCTCTGTATTGTTTTGGAGGCTGTCCTGGAACTCATTCTGTAGACCAGGTTGTCCTCGAACTTACAAAGATCCACCTGCCTCTGCCTCCCAAATGCTGGGATTAAAGGCATGCGCCACCAATGCCTGGCTACTTCATATCCCCTGTAGCATAAGCTGTCATCAATGATTTTGATCTCAGCCATTATGAAAGCCATTTTGTAAGAAGGTATCTCAGAGTCATTTTGATTTGCACTTCCCTGATGGCTAAAGCTGTTCAGCAACTCCTTCAAAGTGTTTTAGCCATTTGAATTTCCTCTATTGAGAATTCTCTGTTTAGATCTGTATCACAGTTTTAATTGGATTATTTGGTATTTGGAGGTTTAATTTCTTGAGTTCTTTATATAGATTTGATATCAACCCTTTGTCAGATGTGGGTTGGTAAAAATATTTTCTCATTCAGTAGGCTGCCTTTTTGTTTTGTTGACCATATCCTTTGTCTTACAGAATGTTCCATTTATTCAGTGTTGCTCCCAGTTTCTGTGCTACAGGTATTATATTGAGGAAGTGGTTTCCTGTGCCCATGCATTCAAGGCTACTTCCCTCTTTCTCTTCTATCAGATTCGGTGTGACTGGATTTGCATTGAGATCTTTGATCCTTTTGGACTTGAGGTGTGTGTGTGTGTGTGTGTGTGTGTGTTTCTGTGTGTGTGTGTGTATGTGTATTTGTGTGTGTGTGTGAAGATATGGATCTATTTGTAATCTTCTACATGTTGACATCCAGTTAGGCCAACAGCATTTATTGAAGATTTTTTCTTTTATCCATTGTATAATTTTGGCTTCTTTGTCAGCAATCAGGTGTTCATAGTTGTGTGGATTGATATCAGTGTCTTCAATTCGATACCATTGATCCACATGTCTTTTTCCATGCCAATAGCTTTTGGTCAGGGATGGTGATGCTTCCAGAAGTTCCTTTATTTTACAGGATTATTTTGGCTAGCCTGTGTTTTTGGTTTTCCATATGAAGTTGAATATTTTTCTTTTGAGGCCTGTGAAGAATTGTTCTGGGATTTTTATGGGGATTGCAATGAATCTGTAGATTGCTTTTGGTAAGTTTGCTTTGTTTCCGCTATTGTGACCCAACCTATCAAAGAGCATGGGGGATTGTGACCCCCCGGAGGGGACCCCCGACCCTCGAGGATGAGGTGATGAGGGTCGCTACTAATTTGGTGGGCCTTCACGAGCAGATCCGATCTTAAAAGTAAACTTCAAGAGGTTAAGGGAAGAAGGCTCAAGACAACTTTTGCTGATCAAGAGCATTTATTTTTGGGGCGAGCTGGAACTTATAGAGGAAGAACCTCAGGGGGTGGTACAAGCATGTCAATCAAGTCTCAACTCAAATATACACCAAATACAGTAAAGACAAAGCTATAATTTTTCAGCAGTCATCAGTTGCATTCCACAAATGCTTGTCAGCGTAAGTCAGGTGCAGGAATTAGGGAGGGGTAGGAAGTATTCAAAGGAACACTTTAACCTTTTGTTAACGAAGACAATTGCTCTGTAAGGGTTACTTCCCCCTGGCTAGGCGGGTGGGCTGCCCTGTGTAAATTTAACTTTTACGGTTAGCCTTTTCCTTTGTCTCAAGGGCATGTGTGCTCACAGTCACGTAAGCAGAAGGCCAAGAAATGGTTGACAGACTCCATTTTGTTCAGGGTTCTAGCAGTCCCCAACAGGGGATCATTCCATTTCCTTTTGTCTTCTTCAATTTCTTTCTTTAAAGACTTAAAGTGCTTGTTATACACGTCGTTCACTTGTTTGGTTAGAGTTACCCCAAGATGTTTTTATGTTATTTGTGGCTATTGTAAAGAGTGATTGTTCTCTGATTTCTTTATCAGCCTGTTTACCGTTTGCATATAGGAGGGCTACTGGTGTTTTTGAGTT